TCGATCTGCGCAACTGGGAACCAATGACATGTGTCAACCAAGTCAGCAAGCCTGACCACCCGATCCCGTTAGTCTCCTCTTACGACAAACATGGGTTACTGAAGATCAATATTCTAACCCGGAACTTCACAGGTGTTTAAGGTTGGACAGCACACCAAAGAGAAAAGAAGATATGCAGTCAAACACTGCCAAAGCTGAAGAGCATTGTGTACCTTTTTCAAGTTATCCAAAGTCCGATAACCACAAAAATGATGACCACAGTTTTTAATGGGCACTTCCATGTTTACCAAAGTAAAAGCTAAGGTGTCAGAGTTGGCTTCGAGAAAAGGGACATAACTTGTTACAGCCACTGATTGCACTAATATCGAGTTAAGAATTTCCAGCCTAGTTCTGTAAGGGCAGAAACTAGACTTCAACAGTCAGTTAACTCCCTTGCCTAGGAGTGATTGGGAATCAAGTTTTTACCTAGATTTATTATGTAACTTATAAACTAGAATATTCGACACTGGTTTGGACAACTGTTCTATCACAAAAACCTCAACTAAGTCGAGGTTTCACATTATCCTAATGAGACCCAATGAGTCCAGTAGCAGATTTAGATTGGACTTTTAAACTTCCATTTGTTTTAAATTGAAGACAAGACATGAAACCTTTGCACGATGGAAATTAGAATCACACCCACAAAATGGGGTCAGTAGTCATGCAGTATATTAAATCATCAGACCACAGAGCTGGTGAAAAACAAGTGATTCAATAGAAGGTAACATGTTTAACATTTTTTCTCGACTAGAGTGTTGCGTAACACTGTCATACTGAATAACAATAAGCAAGCTAGACCATGTGAGCAAGGCTCACTAATACCTTAAACCATGACTCAAAACTTCAACTGTACAACAGATAATCAAGAGCATTCTTGACAAAAATACAACATCTGTCTCAAACTTGGCACCGACCACAAACAAAGAAGCCATTACCCAAATCTGAAAACAATTCTATAATGTGACTCTGAAGTATTGGCTGAACAAATTCATGACGGACATTTTCACCCCAAGTTCAAGAGATGTAATTTGTGAAAATATCGATAAATTACAAAATATATTGTTGCACTGCACTCTCAAACAGATATGGAGGGTGATCCCCAAATTTGAAACAATCCATTCAAATGAGTTTTAGTTATTGGTTGGACAAAAAATATAATTGAAGCAACTCTTTCAAAAATTGGATCCAAACTTTGCACTCCATTCCTTTACCAGACAAAGAAGGTGGTCTCCAAATTTGAAAACACTCCAACCAACACTTTCAAGTTATTAGATGAACAAAAATGTCTTCTGGTGGAATTCCTTGGTATGACTCCATAATCCACCTTGGTAGGTCAGGGGTTTAACAAATATCAATGAATATTGATTCGACATGTTCAATGGATTGTTGCTTCAAATGTTTGAATAAAACTGAGAGCTTGTTTTGTTTCTGAAACTGAAAAACTCCATATGGTTTCAAATCTGCCCATCTCTAAAATATTTTCTGTTATTAACACAAGAAATAAAGTCTTAATTTGATTGCACTATGGATAAGAGTTAATCTTTGAAATGGCAAATTCACCTGATTTTTATGCAGCTTTGAAATTCAACTCATTTCAAGCAAATAATAATATATTTGAGGTCTTTATTTATTTTATGCTAGGTTTCCTTTTGGCTAAAGTCAGTTTACATATGCCATGGAAACTAAATACAAGTGAAGATTAATAAATAGTTAACGAACACAGATTGCAGGAGATTCAATACCAATATGTACGAGTGAGTGAGTGAGTATAGTTTTACGCCGCCATTTAGCAATATTCCAGCAATACCATGGCGGGGGACACCAGAAATGGGCTTCACACATTGTAATCATGTGGGGAATCGAACCCGGGTCTTCGGTATGACGAGTGAAGACTTTAACCACTGGGCTACCCCACTTCCCCAGACATACAAACAGAAGGAAGTGTGACAACACTACCAGATAAAAGGTTATTTCAGAATGTGTGCATGTATCCATTGCCATCTTCAAAATATCCTTGCACAACAATGAAACATTACCACCTCTAGTTGGTGAATAATCTCTTTCTTCAAGAAAGAAGACAACAATGAGGATATACAAAATCGTGAATCAGTATGCAAAATGTTTAATGAGGTACACAAGCCTGAATAACTGATTCATCGAGGGCAGACATTTTAAAACATTTTTTACACATTCTACAAATCTGCAGGACTCCCAAAAGTTAAAACATGAAATATTAAAGTGAAATGTTACAAAAACAACACACTTACTGTCACTATTAATATAATAGATTTAAATCAAACACTACAAGCACAACCTGTATCTCAAATTTCAAAACACAACAAACTATGACGTGTGATGATAGACCTGTGTCTATAACAGAAGGGAGGTAACTCTAAACTAATCTCACAAAGTCCACATACTTTTTTCCTGCTGCCTAATCAACACTTTGAGGAAATCAACAAAACTAGTTTCATTTTGTTTTCAAACGATCACCTTGAAAATTCTCTAAACACTCCACTCCTCCAAAGTCTTGGTAGGTCTAATAATGATCAATGTCACTTACTGATAACATAATGCAACTGGTACCAGACCCTTGGGCTGATAACTTTCAGACCTACATACATACTTATCATAAAGTCACTGAGAGTGAAGTCTGGAGACATCACCTTTCATATATTTACCTGTCTGTTGATCAAGAAACTTTCAAAAATTCACACTCAACTCAATATTAACCTGTCCCAGGCGTTCAGATGAACAACTATTTCGGACAATGCTGTTGTGTATACTGATTCTTGCTGTACTGACAATACCGGCAGGGTGGGAAGAGTTCACAAGTATTCCAGAAGAAATTGCTGCATTGTTCTCGTCAATCAAGCCCACAGATATTAATCTTTGGCAAATGTTTCTCTAATTATACCTTCCATTTACAACCAATACCAAATATGACATATGTAACTTTACACCAGACAACATTATTAGTCATTAATCATTGCAAGCTTGAGGAAAAAGCAGCATGGCCAAATATTCTTGTTAAATTGGCTGTTGTGTGACTTCTGGGTTATTATGCCCTACAATACCTTGTCTAATCATAAAACCTCTCAAATGTTCAAAAGGAACAATTCATCACTAGATTGATATATATAGCAGGCTTCAACAAGAGATATTCAATCTAGTTCTTCTTTAAAAGCGGAAAACTCTCAACAGACAAGACATGCTTTTTATTCTATCCACCTATTTTCACAATCGAGGTGATAAGGACACAAGGAATCTTTACAAAACTATTGGTAATATTACAGAAGAATCTCCAGTAAAAATAAATAAATAAAGATTCTTGTCTTTGGTGTCCTACTGCTATCTGCCTTGCAAAGTTCCTAAAACTTCATGATACAACAGTTTGTTAACTATCTGATGTGAAATGTTTTGATACAATATAGCATATAGTGCCTCAAATAACACAATGATGAATTGTTTCACCCTTATATACTGTTACTTAAATGTTGTATTCAAAGTTCAAGATCACCAATTGCAGCATTCAAAACAAACATGAAACCTCCACAGGCTATAAAAATGAAGAGGCAAAGTAGCTGTAAGCATTTCCATATTGGTACTACTTATATCCCTGATGAACATAACAACCCCCTAAATTTTTTATTTAAAGGGGATAACTGTTAAAGCGAAAAAACTGTAATAAAGTAAAAAGAGGGAATGAATATTGTTCATTTCGCTTTTAGCACTATTCCAGCCATATCTGTGGAGAACAATAGAAATTAACATAACACATTCTACCTATGGGGGGAGCTAAACCAGGGCCCCATTTCACAAAGTGTTCGTAGCACTATAGTGATCGTAACTCCCATACTTTAACACAGACTTACGACAGTTGTAGCGCTATGATCACTTTGAGAAACGGATCCCTGGTCTTCAGCATGACAAGAGAATGCTTTAACTGCTAGGCTACCTCATCACTCCAGATGTGATAAGAACTCACTAAATACAGTGTTCAGAGTTTGAAACTTACTTGGTACCAAGTTATCTGAATTCATGAAGGCCACTAGTGCTTGTGGACATAATTACATTTAAAAGTTTACAAATTAAGACGGGCACACTAGTGTTTGTTCAAAACTACTTTCTTTTTCACAATCTAGGGCATGTAGAGCTAAGTACATCTTCTGGTTTGGATTCAAAATATGACACTTATTACATGAGATGGTTAAAAGGGGATCCAGGATTTAGAAAACTTTACTTAGCAGTTACAGTGGTTCACGTCAGGTTTCTCAAAAATAAGGGAGTGGTTGGAGTGTTATTTTGATAAAAAGTTCTGTTGAAGTTCGTCACTGACGTTTGTAAATAGTTAAAACCAACAGAGTCTGTATGACATTGCCTTATATCTGGAACCAATTGATAGGAACTAAGGTCCGGAACTAACTGGCTGTGTGTTACATGAACTTGTAAACAAATACAAAGTTCAGCAGATTCACCTTATAGCAGATGGATAGATGTAAACAATCCTGACATGTCAACTATCTATTCGTAACATAACAGCCAGGCTTCCTCGTCAAAGACAGATGCTGCGTCATTCTAAACACAGGACATACGCGACAAAACAATACAGGTCTAGTCTGGACAGAATCATCAACAAAAACAACTTGCTAACAACGCTCGAGGCACTCAAAGGTCAATTTCAGTGCATCTTATTCAACCTTTGCAGACGATTTTGATCTGGTTTTATAAACCGCGACCTATATTTTTCCCTACTCGAAACATCTACATCCCGGAAATAACTGAATGTGACCACAATGAGTTTGACCACGATAGAAAGACTTCATGTATTTCTCTACTGGATTAAACACCTGTGTGCAGCACGTTGATGCGACAAGTTGCGTACTTCGAGATCAACTCGCGACATCGCGACACTGCAACAAGTTCTGCGGGCGCATACCCAGAAAATGGCACTCGCTTACCGTTTTTCAGCTCCATCGTGACCGTATCAGACCCTGCAGAGTCTGCCTCATCGGAGAGTAGGGTCTCCATGCTGCAAATATTTGCAAATTTCTTGTTTTCGTAAACAATATTTCTTCGGTTGTTTTTGCGATCGACTGGAGACTTCCCTTCCCAAAATGCCCAGCCTCAGCTACCGGAAGTATAGCTGATAGCTATGTATAGTAACAAAGCACGTGGGTTTGTTTTGGTTGAAATGCCACGTGACAAGAACAGGTGCCCGTCAAAGCATTAATAGTCAACCTTGAACACCTGTAACTGTTAAATATTGAACTTCTACAACATCTAGAACTTTGTTGTTGAGTTTTCCCAAGACATCATCTGAATAAAAGTATTAAGAAACGCTTAACCACAATATTATTGATGACACGAATAATTTACTAACTCAAGGTCAACAACTTGAAGGAAAAATTCTCAAGCTGTGTACATTTTCATACAGTTGAAGGTTAAATTAAGGCAAACTGACATGTGGAATGTTTATATATGGTATGTAACTAAAATTTAATAAGAAGTAATTTTTGAAATAGGGAATTTGCAGTGTTTCGTAAAAATATAACCTTGACTGTGACATGGGGTGAATATGGCTTTATGCCGCTTCTAGAAATGTTAAACAATATCAGGTCGAGCCACAGCAGAAATGGACTTCAACCTCTGGATTTGAAAAAAAACCCAGCCATTTCACCAAAGGGTTACACATTGTAAATGTACACAGAATGAAAGAACAATATGCGTGTGCGTGCGTGCGTGCGTGCGTGCGTGCGTGAGTGGAGTGTGCGTGCGTGTTTCTGTCGACCCATCTCATGAGTAGAATATATTAGCTCTCATATTCAATCTTCAACAGTCATCACCACCACCATGATTATTAATGCAAGAGAGCATCAATAACCCATAATGTATAATGGCCTTTTCCCGTATCAAACAGGTCATATACTATTGTGGTTCTCCTAAACGTCCATTTTTGTGATAGACATCAGCCATCCGGTTTCTGTGTGTGCTCTCATTGTTCAAAGATATCGTACTGCCTGGATCTAATCCGTTATGATAGACTGACTGACTGAGTTTGGTTTTACGCCGCTTTTAGCAATATTCAAGCAACATCACGGCGGGGGACACCAGAAATTGGCTTCACACAATGTACCCATGTGGGGATTCGAACCCGGGTCTTCGGCCGTTATGATAGAAAAAACTGGTTGTCTTCTACAACCCACGCTAGTCGAAAGAGTCAGTGAATTGTGTTTTACGCCGCTTTTAGTCATATTCCTGCAATATCACGGCGGGGGACACCAGAAATGGGCGTCACACATTTTGCCCATCTTGGGAATCGAACCCGGGTCCTCCGCGTGACGAGCAAACTCTTTCACTGCTGGGCTACCTCGCCACCCCACTAGTCAAAAAGCGACGAACGGGATCGGGTGTTCTGTCTCGCACACTTGCCCGATGCATGTCAATGTATCCCAAATGCGTACATCGTTGCTCATGATTTCGTTCACTGGATTATCTTGTCAAGACTATTATTTCCAGACCGCAGTCATTTAGCTGGAATATCGATGAATGTGGCATTAAGAACATACTGGATCTATAGTGGACATGTGCAGAAGGTGTCGAGTGGAACCCATTCTCATCCACAGAGGTTACTTTTCATATCTCCCGACAAGTAACCTAGCTCTGTGGGAGGTGAGGTGAGGTGAAATTGGGTTTAACGTCGTGCTTGAGAATATTTCGCTCATATGACGACGTGCATGCGTGTGTATGTGTATATGTGCGGCTGCTTGTACTAGCCCAGACTTAAGCTGGTTTTATAGTGCTAGCCCACTGAGACACCGTGCCGCAGTGAAGCATGAGTACCCCACTCAGACACATTATACTGACTCCGAGCCGACCAGTCCTTGTTGTACCCATTAATGCCGAGCGCCAGGCAGGGACCAACAAGTACCATATTTTAACGTCTTTTGGTAGGACGTGGTCGGGACCTCTGTGGGAAGAGAATGAGTGAAACCCATCTAACTTGCAATTGGAAACCAATTCATTTTCTGATGAGTGGGTGAGTTTAGTTGTACGCCACTTTCAGCAATATTCCAGCAATATCACGGCGGGGGACACCAGAAATAGGAATCACCCATGTGTGAGATCGAACCAGGGTCTTTGGCGTGACGAGCTAACGCTTTAACCACAAGGCTACCCCACCGCCACCATTTTCTGATGGGGATGTTGAGAGTATTCAACCACTCCGTTAAACAACATAATCTGATATCCTTAAATATGGTGGGAGTATGTTTTCCACGTAATGCCTCCGATGAAATAAACAAACAAATCATATAAAATAAGGTGGGTGAAAGATCTGATTGCAAATTTGTCACAATCACGTGTCTCCCGCACGTGTGGTACAACATCATGCTGCCCAGTCCAGTGTTACACGTCATTTACATACTCATTTGCATATCAATGACAAGGCCCAAACACTATTTACCAGCAATATATTTCCTAAATAGAAACAAGTAGTGTTCAAACCTTGTTTACTAAAGTTAGCACTAAATATATCAAGACCACTGATTAGATGTTATTCCAAAATTAACGCTATAATTAAAAATTAAAAGAAATCAACGTGGAAAAATAATTAATGGATAACGTCTTCTGTGTAATGCTGTAATTTCGTGGTTTCTGACTGACTGACTGAGTTTGGGTTTACGCCGCTTTTAGCACTATTCCAGCAACATCACGGCCGGGGACACCAGAAATGGGCTTCACACAATGTACCCATGTGGGGATTCGAACCCGGGCCTTCGGCGTGATGCGTGGTTTCTGAAAAGATCCTTATGCGTTGTCAAGCAACGCTTAAATATGAACATAATTATATATGGTGTAGGATTAACATATAACAACACTTATCATACGTAAGGAAATTAACATAAGAAGGATTAAATTGTAACGTGATGGACACAGAGCATGCGGCAAGGAAGCCAATTAAACAGGAAGCCAATTAAACCCTATTAAATTACAAGGTTGGATTACTGGCGAAAAAACATGGCTTGATGAGTTCATAGAGGCGGATGGATGAAATAGCCTTGATCTCTGTTAATAGACGGCTTGCGGCGGCGACTCGGGGCTGTTACTGTTTTCCCTTAGTGGTTGCATGAAGGCATGAAGGATTTGGATGTTGTCCCGATTGGTGTTGTGATTGGATCAGTTGAGGACAGGGTCTGAGATAGTTGATTTACTGATTGATTGGATCAAAGAATGAAGAGGACAACCGTTTATGGACAGACAACTTCTTTATTGCAACAGACGCGACGTTTCGGTGCAGATCCGGTGTTAGTATCAATACCAGCCCTCGCTTCTATTGCAATGAAGTTGTCTGTCCATAAAAAGGTGGCCCTCCACAGCATGCAGATCCGGTGTTAGTATCAATACTAGTCTGTCTCACAGTCCCTGAACCACATTATTTTCCCTACAGCCTAGCCTTCCCTGTAGTGCTAAAGCCCTAAACGAAGCAAGTCTAGATTTCCCCAGGTTCAGGTCTGAATCTCTGGTCTCCCTAGGGCCCCTTTTCAATATAAATGGGTTTGTTTGTTACTATCAAAATTATATATATTCAGAGACTAAGCCTTAGTCTATATCAATACCAGCCCTCGCATCTATTGCAATGAAGTTGTCTGTCCATAAAAAGTGGTCCTCCACAGCATGCAGATCCGGTGTTAGTATCAATACCAGCCCTCGCGTTTATTGCAATAAAGAAGTTGTCTGTCCATAAAAAGTGGTCCTCCATAGCATGCAGATCCGGTGTTAGTATCAATACCAGCCCTCGCGTTTATTGCAATGAAGAAGTTGTCTGTCCAAAAAAAAGTGGTCCTCCACAGCATGCAGATCCGGTGTTAGTATCAATACCGGCCCTCGCGTTTATTGCAATGAAGAAGTTGTCTGTCCATAAAAAGTGGTCCTCCACAGCATGCAGATCCGGTGTTAGTATCAATACCAACCCTCGCATCTATTGCAATGAAGTTGTCTGTCCATAAAAAGTGGTCCTCCACAGCATGCAGATCCGGTGTTAGTATCAATACCAGCCCTCGCGTCTATTGCAATGAAGAAGTTGTCTGTCCATAAAAACTGGCCCTCCACAGCATGCAGATCCGGTGTTAGTACCAATACCAGCCCTCGCTCCTATTGCAAAGAAGGAGGTTGTTTATCCATAAAAACTGGTCCTCCACAGCATGCAGATCCGGCGTTAGTATCAATACCAGCCCTCGCATCTATTGCAATGAAGTTGTCTGTCCATAAAAAGTGGTCCTCCACAGCATGCAGATCCGGTGTTAGTACCAATACCAGCCCTCGCATCAAATGCTATGAAGAAGTTGTCTGTCCATAAAAAGTGGTCCTCCACAGCATGCAGATCCGGTGTTAGTACCAATACCAGCCCTCGCTCCTATTGCAAAGAAGGAGGTTGTTTATCCATAAAAACTGGTCCTCCACAGCATGCAGATCCGGTGTTAGTATCAATACCAGCCCTCGCATCAAATGCTATGAAGAAGTTGTCTGTCCATAAAAAGTGGTCCTCCACAGCATGCAGATCCGGTGTTAGTATCAATACCAGCCCTCGCATCTATTGCAATGAAGTTGTCTGTCCATAAAAACTGGCCCTCCACAGCATGCAGATCCGGTGTTAGTATCAATACCAGCCCTCGCACCTATTGCTATGAAGAAGTTGTCTGTCCATAAAAGTGGTCCTCCACAGCATGCAGATCCGGTGTTAGTATCAATATCAGCCCTCGCGTCTATTGCAATGAAGTTGTCTGTTCATAAAAAGTGGTCCTCCACAGCATACCAGATTCTAAATACCACTTAAAGAAGCTGATCAACGAGGTTTTGTGCTCTTTGATTCTGATGATGAAGGCGCAGGGTGTTTCAACTAAAGTCTGTACGTAGAACTGTCCACAGTTATGTTTAATTGTTTTAAACCCTCCATTATAGGTATCATTGTTTTCGTGCCATCCTCACCGCTTCCCGATCCTTTCATATTAGAAACGATTGCATTGTAAAATGTTAAATAAGTAATAGTATACTGATGTACAAAAGAAAGTACACACCTGCTGTTTTGAGACTATTTAAAAAGTAAATAT